AGAGTGATCTTATAATTTTTATTAATAAAAAATGAATTGACTGTCCGAGTTGTATTTCGAGAATTTTGAGAGGGGTATTTCACCGCACGATGGTAATCGAGCTGTTGTTTCTGAGAGAACTGCTGGATGGACCGACTCGCGAGAGATTTCATTTGAAATACGAATTTCCGCACTCTCTACCTGAAGAAGAAAAGTTCCTGCAAATCGCTGAGAGCGCACGAACAAGGCGAGAACTGCTTGCAAACACGATTTCGTCGATTTTGTTGAGAAAGAGGATTGCAGCAATGGTAGCTGGAAAATTGGCACGAAATTGGAGCAAAGAGAAGTAATTTTGGAGAGAAAAAAATAAAAACACTGATAAGGAAGAGAAGGAGGCGAATACCAGGTAATATCCAATTAATAGTGTCGTAAACTAACAATCAGGGCGCGTAATACCATTACATCCAGTGGACAAATATAAGATTGCAAAACAAAAACGCAACACACACGCGCGCACACACACACACACATGTAAAAGAACAGCATAGCGTATACACGCACACACACACAATAGTTTTAATATCGTTCGAACGGGATAGTTGCGGGGGATGTAAGTCAAGGTGCTTCCAGAAAAGGATACACGAAAGTAGCTCGTCCATCGTGACTTTACGTAAGCTCGCGAGACAGTTAAGTTGTCGGGTGCGAAGTATATCCCAGCTTGTGTAAAGAAGTTAAAGGAAAAAATATAGAGTTAGAGATAAACAAGTTTATCCGAGCGATTTGCAGTTCGAACACAAGACAACTCTCTTCGTAACGTTCGCTTTGTCGCACGATGGTCAAACGACGTTTCAATAATAGAATTACATAATGGGACGGTCAGTCACTGCATAATGTTGGTACGTTCATGGCAATCAATAATAAAACACAACCACGCGCGGTAGCCATCAAGAGCCAAGTGTCATTATCGCCAGATCTGACGATGTAAGGTACGTATTGACGATAATAACAATAATAAAAAGAGAATATTAAAGTGTAGAATTGTGTGCGTACACGCATTACGTATATGTATACAGTATATATGTATGGGAATATACACACAAGGGTGAGACTCGTAGATCAAAGAATACGTAGGCATACGCAGCACAAATATGTATGTATCGGGGCGAGCACCGATGCTGATGCTCGCTCGTCGCACAGGGTGCACAAAGACCAACTTTAGGAGCCGCCGAGCACGACCTGCCCACAAACCTGTAATAGCGATCTTCGCCGACCATTTGCTGGTACCGTCCAAAACTGACTGCTCCACCGCCGTCATGTGACCCGCGTGCGCCTTTTCGTCGACCCCGAAGACTGACCTAAACTCCGACGAGACTTTCTTTCACATGAGCTGTGCCAGCGGCCACGATCTCGTCTTATCTGTCTCTCTCGCATTGTCAACTCATCGTTGTTCCGAGATAATCTTTTGAAATAGCTTTCCCGTCGCGAGATATCTTTGCTGCGAAACTAATTTCGTCACGAGACATCCTCAAAGGAAGATTATCTCGGTAACGAAATATTTTCTTGGCAATATTGCAATAAAAAAAGAAAAAAAGCCGACGAGACAAGCAAAATTTAAATCGATACGTATATTTACGTATTAGCCATTCTGTTGCAATTTCCTAAAAACCTCATGCTTGTTTTAGCGATTCGTAGCGAAACATGAACGATTATTTATACGACAGTTTAGGAATTCTCTCTGTAGGATCAATTGTTCAAGGTGTCATTTCTTGCTAAATTTTTTTCTGATATCGCGATCAGAGAGGCTAAACGGCGAGAATCGAGCGTATACGTCGCGCCGGCAATTAAGTCGATGGAAATTTTTGGAACGCCCTGGACAAGCGGTCGTCTCTAATTAAAGCGACTGGTCATCGATCAAGCCGCTAACGAGAACGTTGATTGCCCGATAGTACGATATCGGCGCTCGATGAGCACCGTTATATCCACGAGATTCGTATACGACGGGATTGTCGGCGATTAGTATGCGTCCATCAGAGAAGACGAGATCGGGCCTTGTAACGGTGACGATTCCGCGCTTTAGCTTTGCTTGCTCTTCGTTACATATTACTCCGTTTATTACCACCACCGTCGCCACTGCATCGCTATATTTGTCCCTGCGTGTCCCTTTTAATTATGGATTAATTCCAGTCTGTCGCCGGTGAACGGGCGGGCGGCCCTTAATTGACAACTAGTTACTGTCGCCTGAGATATTAAATTAATTATAATTTTCAATAATATATATAATTATTACGAGAGCGCAACATTTTGCGATGTAGTATTTCTTGCAAAAGCTCGAGTGCTTTTCCTAGAACGCGTGATAATGAACGTTGCAGCTGTTCTAATTTCGCGCGTGCTAATTACGGTAGAAGCGTTAAATTACGATAATACTCGGCATAAACGAAGAAGATATTAGTGCGCATTAATATCCGCGGATATTAATGTGCACTAATTAATTCATATGTTTACTGATAAAGCGTCAAAGTATCATCTTTGTTAAGTACATCAGAGAAAATTTTCAACGTGCTAATTAAAAATGATTTGCAAAAATTATCGATATGTGTATTCACCACTGGGTAATTAACTACTTCACAATTAATCTCGCCACAATTGCGTAAACACATTTTCCAATTATATATACCGAAAAAGAGGCGTATTTCCATAATGTGCCAATGTGCGACTAATTGAACAAGTATTGATCGATCAATTTATCGGCGCGATTCTTCGGTCTTTCATAATGCAGATCACACGAGCGATATTAATCAATATTATTCATTAATATTGTGTGGCTGCCGAATTGGTTTTTATGAAACTGCATTGCGTATGTTTTTCGCGTCGTCGATATTTATAATTGCCGCGAGATAACCTGATACGGATAATAAGATTAAAATGCAGCGCGAGAGGCTGAGATATCTCGAATAACTCGACGCTTAATTAATTATGGAACGAGCGACGGCAGATATGCGACAGATTGACATAAGGTACGCAAATGTGATTAGACGGTTATTATGGCGATACCGCGTGTCTAAGCCGCGTATGCGTTATCCACTTATCATTTATTATGCAAACCGCCTGTGAACGATGAATACATATGTGATCTGTTTGATAAAATATCGAACCGTAAACGAATCAAAATTACCTCTGTCATGTAAATATATTTATATCTAGTTAATTCGTCAAATGTTAAATAAATAAATAATGTGATTTTTGTTTCTCTCATGTGCCCCAAGTATGGATTCAAAATTTCAATTAAAAATGATCTGTCAAGTATACACATAAATGTCAATGTCGATTAATGAGCGGATAATATTAATTTGTGAGATTATTAGCTTATTTATTTAGCTTTATTATTATTTAGCTTCCCGACAGTTTATTTGATCGAACAGAGTAACATGTTTATTCAAGCGGATTTTGCTACATTTTGATACACCATTAAATCGATGATATTGTGGAGATTATTATAATTGAATAATGTGTCATTATTAATGATGACGTTCCTTAATTATTGTTCCTTTTGCGCACACATAGTGCTTGTTTCTCAACTTATATGTTATTCATATAAAAATTACCATATCTGAATATAATCTAATTTGTTTGTGCATATAGATTCCAGCGTCTTTTGCGATTAAACAGAAAGATTATTGATCATAGACGATAGGTTTTCAATAATGAAATGCATTATGTGCAAAGTCGTAAAACAAATACACTGTACCAACGAAGATAACAGAATGCATACTTCGAAGTTTAGAATATGGATCGTGCTTGCCGCATTTATCGTAAAGCATTGTCCACGTATGTTTACACACTGCTACTCAGAAGTTGCGTCATAGCTAATATTCGCACAAACAACCTTTATAGGGCATTTAACGATTTCCGATGTTTGAGATCGTGTATAATAGATTCGACTCGGTAGCGGCAGTTTATTCGCGGAATCGTTTACATTCTCATCTCACGCAAAGCGGGGATGAGCCTCGAATGGAATGGAACGGGAACTTCGAAAGAATTGTTTTAATAGCGGCGACTAATTAATTCTACCGCAATTGAAAATGGCTCTTGATTCACCATTAAAAGTGTACCGTTTTCACAGGCAACAGTGAACATTTTCCTTTGCAAGATAAATACATAATTTATTTCGAAACTGACAATGTGGACTTTTTAATTCGAAAACAGCGAGCAGTGGCGATCGGTGAATCGCGTCGCGATCGATCTACATCGATCGACGCTATTCATCCTTGAACTGCCATCGATCGACAGTACGGTTCTCGTTGCTGTGGATCGATTTCCGTGGCTGCGACAAAAGAAGAGACGAAAAAGAAGCGAGCGAAAATGTAAGCGGAAACTCACCGAATCAGTTCGAAGATCTCCGGTTTTTCTCGTTCTCGTTGTTTCATCCTCTCCTTCATCGCCGTAATTATGCTAATCGCCTTATCCTCAGCTCCGTGCTTCGAGCTTTTCTCAGCCGCTCCTAGAGAATGAATGGGATAGTGAAACATTAATATATTCGAGAGATTCGCATATATAGACAATTAGTTGACTGCACTATTAACAGTTCATTAATAAAATTATCGATTAATTATTTACATGCAAATATTGATTGCAAATTAATTGTCATTTACCAAGATCGGAGTGTGTATGTGTTATCGCCAATATCAGTTAAATGTTTATTTCTGATAAAAAGAAAAATGTATTTAACGTGCAAAAAAGATTTATTATGAGATTTAGTGTATACACCGGACATATTTTTCGAGATCGACTGATAAAAAGCTTATAAACAAGAGATTTGTATTGGGATTTTTCTCGAGGTTGCACACATCATAAAAACCGTGATTCGTATCATCAATATATGATTGTGTAATACTAATATTTTCGTGCTCCAGTATCGTGCCTGAATAAAGCACTAATAATGTGACATGGCGTGTATAACGATCGGGGTATCGCATTTCGTAAAATTATATATAAACTGGAAAACATGTATCACAAATCGTGATAAATGGCTACGCATTTTGCGCGTTGCGCAATAGTTACGTCAATTTCGATGACACGTAATCGTTGGACATCAGAGATATTAGATGCAAGAATGATAGCGAATAGTAACGAAATATTTTGCATGCAATCCGATATACGTGATGATTGATCGCGTTTCGAATTCTACGCGAGCGCGAATTTTCCGTACCCGATTTCAATTACGAACTGGAAATCTTGTTGCGGACCAAATAACGGTTATATAAGAAAGAAAGAGAAAACCTTGAAGAGAGTGAGCGATGTAATAACCTGGTACATCGAAGTTACAGCGCTGAATAAGGGGGATTTATGTAATCGCAAACGGAATTATAAGACAAGGGAAACTGTCGATGAATCGAAGGTAGAGATATTTTAAATTAATCGTGGACTGTCCGATCGAGAGGAAAGATTTTATCGGGTACATGATGGGAATCATTAGTTTCGAAACGCTACACAAATCGATAGCGAATGGTGTCGCGACGAAAGAAAACATATAGAAAAGATCCTGTCGGGTTCAAATTGAAAGTGTGATGGACGGGTCGACATTACGAGTGTCGTTGCCTCTCGATTTTTCCGGACAATGAAAATTGATTTATAAAATTCGCATCGCATTATCGATTCATTTATCAAATCAAAATGCGAAATGGTTTATTGCTATAGTATCCGTAAAAATTATTTTTCCGCAGGAAATAATTCAATCTATGAAATTCAATCGCGCGCTTTAACAATCGTCCGATTATTCCGTCGAATCGATTTTACGGCACGAGGATAATATCTGTTTATTGACAAGACGACGGAAATAGTAGTGTGACTGCAAGATGCAACGGATTGAAGTCGGAGTGTCTTACGGAGCAAATTAAGTATTAATTTGCATCGAAGTAGCGACGACGAAGGATTAAGAGGAAAATAGAATGGAATGTATGTCTGTTGAAATTTATTCATTCGCACTAATCTCTGTCTAACGAACCGCGAAGCCTTCCTCGACCTCACTTGGACTCTTGTTCCTTTGCCAAGAGGCAGCCGATTTTACTACTCTACACTCGTTAATGACTAGATCCGAAGCTCTTAATTATGGTTATATATTGTCCGGTAAGAAAAACCTTTGTGACCTTAGTACCTCGGAGTCTTCTAAATACATTTGTAACTTCTCTGTGGAGAAAGAAATCGCTTTACACATATACACACATGCAATTATTAATAATTAACTTTGTCAAAGAGATTTTGGTTAATTAATAATATTAATTTATTTAATATTCCTTCAAAATCTAGTCATCTCGTACGATAGTAGGCCTCGGTCGTGCAATTAACTGCGACACGAAATATATAATTAATTGAATATATCCTTATAATTATAATAATTTTATAGCTACGCGCGGAAATTGCGCTTGGAGGCTAAATTACAAGAATAAAGGCTGATATTACTTACTCTGCAAGCAGTCGGCGTTCAAAAGGTCCTTGCACTTTTCGTGACACTTGACACCGCACTCCATACATCGCACTCCCTGTCGAGCGATGCCCCAGAGAAGACCCTCGCACTCGTAGCAATAGGTCGGCGATGTGGCGGTCCAGGTGACGAAATTGTGAGGAGTGGTCGACGATATGGGATAGATCATCGCCTGCAGAGTTTTCTTGTACACGTGCATCTTCTGCGGGTTTATCATCGCGATTGCATCGCCGATAAGTCGAAAGTAAGCATTTGACAAAAAGAGAGAGGCAGGGAAGAGGATAAATCGGAAGGGAGACTGGGTAAGCGGTTTACGCAAACATTTGTTTTTTTCTACTTTGGTCACCTGTTCATAAAAGTTAACATGTTACGACCTTCGAGAGAGCGAAACGATTCGCCGGACATTTTATCGTGAATTGTTAATCCTTTGGAAGAATGAATGTCACCTCTGACACTTAAAAAATCTTGGTCTCCAATACTAATATAACGGTAAAATGCGTTTCATGTCATTTATCAAATTTTCCGATATTATTCCGCCGACATCTATTGTATTCTAAAAAGAAATTGAACGAGGAACTCCCGATACTCACAGAGCAATATATGATGAAGTGAGCATGTCACGACTGCTGACATACTATAACATTCTATTACCTTGTGTATGAAAAATTAATCGAACAACTGTATGATATATTGGATTATATCAGGAATTGTATCTCAGCAATGCTATTTCTAGTTGAAAAATGAAACCGCTTTATTCTGACCTTTTAAGAAAATTACTTTTTCAATTTATTGTTTATTTCGCATTACTTTTATCTTCAATGCGCATTAATTTGTATAAAGTAGTTAGATCTACCCTCTTTAATTTAAAATTTGCATTTCAAATTATAAGTAAAACACCAAAGGATTAGCATTCATTCTTGTCCAAGCGATTTCTCGCATATAAACTCTCTCATAAATTCAATTATTAATCGGGGATCTTCGTGCCTTTGGATCTTAGTTACATAATCATGTGCACGCAAACCGTATGCAGTACATAAGAGTTTCACAAAGGAACCCGGATAAGGGTTCAATGGAAACGAATTGGATACGCTAAGAGACTGTTTCGAGGTTCCTACTCGCTCGTGCCACTCGAAATCAAGAAGAATGACTCTCATCATTCGGCTTTCGATTTTCGAGAGCATTTCTTTTGAGAGCGATTTTCTCCTTTTCTTCCGGACTTTCTCGTTTTTCCATGCTTGGGATAGGGAGATTATCTAGGAGATCTTCACAAGCTCAAGAAGGCAAACTTCTCTCGATCCTAAAGGGATCACCGACATTTTATGTTGGACATCTAGAATTTTCACGCGCCGTCTTTTTTCTTTTTGCGATCTTTTGCAAAAATTTTTTTCTTTTTCATAAAGTCACGTACGCGCCGAGAAATTTTCTAACAAGCACATTTTCTAGATGTCGTTAAATTATCTAGCAAAAAAAAAGAGAGAGAGAGAGAGCAAGGATGTAAAAGCATCGATCCGCTAAGAAGCACTACTCTACGAACGTGTGAAACGTGTGGGATGTTCCTTCGGTGCATGAATCTTTCAAAATCCATATACTATCTATGTAAGAATCAACATATGCGGTTGAGTTATCCTTCAAAAATTATTCTTCAACGCGTTATTTTTCAAAGTCTCGGGAACGTCATATAAATACGTACTCTTGATCCAAATTAGTAAATCTTGTCTTAATTTCTACACGTCTAATATTAACAAAACTTGCGTTTATGTAATGATATAATTGAATTTCAAACCGCGTCAATCTATAATGATTTCCTCAAGGTGCTTAAATAAATTACGCATTCGAGACCAGCTTGGATACCGAATATCTTGCATGCGGCAAAAGAATCTGCAAAAGGACCCTAGATATTCGATATACGAGGAACATCCAACGTCACAGAAATCGGAAACTCCTAACACTAGCCTAGCTATTTCTCTCTGATACGGTATCCTGCGCCGTGATATTTTGTAGACTCCTACAGATGTCCTATATATATGTATATCCACACGCGTGTGTGCGTTTCAACCGCTATTTTCTCACCTAATGCATACGTATGCGTGTACTTCCTTGTACATACGTGACGCGTATGTATATATCATGGTCCTAACCGCTAATGTATTTTACACTAGTTTGCTACGTGTTGCTCGAAAATAACGTAGCGTGAGAAGGAGGTAAATAGAAATAAGGAAAGAAAGAGCAGAAACATCACTAAATCACACTTACGTGAAAGAAAATAGCGTGGAAATGAGGATAAAATGCAGCACGTTTCGTATGAAAAGAAAGAAAGAGTCCAATGGTTAAGTTAAGCTCCTTCGGCGCCGGTCTCTCTCGTCGCTATTGAAACTTAAAATTAAATGATGTGCGACCTAACTCCTTGCTTGATACCTGTCTCCATATTTCTTCCAATATTACCTTCCGCCATAAATCTCCTTCTCGCAACTAGAAACTACACGTACATCTTTTTACTTTCGCTTTCGAAGCTTTTCCCTTACGCTTCTCGAATGCGTTACAAAAGTAATTAAAGAGCTTCGTTTCGTGACTGATGTCGCGCTAACTAATGCGATACATTGCGTACTCGCGATATGAGAAATAGCTATCTTGAAAAATACCGCTAGAAAAGAGCTTACGATAAGCTGCCCCGATTTCTTAAATAATATTTATATATCAACGGCGCAGCGCGGTGGTAGCTAATTTTCCTCTTACAAAACAAATACGTTTCTCTTGATTTATTAAATAGTGACGTAAAGTGACGATGATGAAGTACAGTGACTAAAGGGCAAATCCTTACCAGCTCCTCGTCGTTCAGCGTTGCTCGCGGCACGGCGGACGTAAGACCAGCGTTCCTCTTCGTCGCCGCCATAGTCTGGGAAAAGATAAAGATTAATGTGCATCTGATAAAAGAATAAAATCTTCCAGTCTCTCTATCGCATAGTCAGTTTTCAAGTCCTGAGACTGAGAAACTGAAAGGAAAAGAGAGAAAGAAAGAGAAAGAGAGAGAAAGAGAAAAAGAGATTGAAAGAAAGCGTAGAATAGATAAAACAAATCGAGAGATGTGAAGAAACGCAAGTAAACGAAAAAAAAAAACGCAGAAGAATTCTTCGAAAAGTGTTATTTACAGATATTTTTCAACATCGAGATTAAAACGTGGCTATTTGCGAGATCAAAACGAGAGTGAGTGACACGATGAAAGAACGTTACGTGATAAGAATTATTCAAAAATAATAATTTTAATCGATATTGAGAAATTTCAATACACATTTTCAAAGAAACAATTTCACATCGAGATAAAATTGCATCCGCCGTAATAACACGTCGTGAAGAGTTGTGAGATAAAAACAAATTCAAAGCCTAAGAGAAATCCTATACGTAACGTAAGTCTTGTGACGTAAAAGAAGCGGTGACATTACATGCCAAATGAAATATCGATGAAGTTCAACTTTTATTTACAAGTTTTATGAAGTAAGTATTAGTGTGTGAGTGGCTTTATGTATATTATATATATATACATCGAACCCCCTTGTGAGAAAAAAAGAGACCCATACTAAGAGATTGTATTGCAAATATTAAAGGAGACGTCTCTGGATGTTCTATATTTAGTCTAGAGCGCCTTATGTAGCCGGCTGACATTTATGTAACTGGACAAGAGCGCGCATGTGAAATGTATTACAAATTTAATGCTAGCTACTGACCGCACGTTTGAGCATACTTTACGACGAATATCAGAGAGCATGTGTGGAATGTTTGCTCCTGCATAAATATTTACAAGCTTAACATATTATCCATGCGATTATCTTTGTAAAGTCAAGATGAAATTAACACGGCGGTCAACAAACAAGATTGCAAATATCTGAACCGGTGATAAGATTCAACTCGAAATTCTAGATTATACGCTACAGTATTTCGAGACCTAAAACGGAAATTGTACGAGAGGCTAATCAAAGATTAATCCTGTTTAATTAATATAGTCGGGCACAGTCTTAATGCGACGTAGATTTGCATGTTCAATTCGGAAATGCATATATGTATACATGTACTGTATGTAATACTGTACAAGATTGAAATTAGAACTAAGAGACCGATAGTAAGAAAAGTCAGTGAAAGGCAAGAATTAGAAAGCGGATAGAGCGGAAACGCTAGAAGATTTGTAAATCAGTTGACAGAATAACGGTGAGAGATAAGGAGAGATTAGAGAGAGAAATGATACAGAGAGAGAGAGAGAGAGAGAGAGAGAGAGAGAAAGAGAGAGAGCTCGTAGAGGAATCTCTACGGAGAGGGAATCTAATCTAATTAGCTTATGGTGTCTAATAGGTGCGGTGAGCAATAGGATATGTGGTTAGCATAGATTTCAATTAAGATATTATGCACAGGACCCCGCGAACCGTGCATGCGCCATTGTTTCGTCCCGATAATCAGGCATTAATTCCGTGCACGCTAATCTTGCTTTTATTCGCCATAACTGACATATGTTGTTGCGCCATTGTTTTTCTATTCGAGTAAGAAATGTGCTGCATGATTGCATGGGGGTGCCGTAGAGTAATTTAATTGTATCTCTTTCGAGAGACTCGCGCGCGATATCATTTTTTTTTTTTTTTTTAAACGACATTGTTGCGCTTATCTCTTTCGCTTTGTTTTTCGCATTTATTTTTGTCGCGAAAAGCAAGCGAACAAATAAGAGAAACGGACAAAGTATTGCTAAATCGAAATAAGTTTCTGTTTAAAAAAGAAACAAATTGCTTCCAACAATATCATTATCATAATGTTTACTTATGTGACTATACGGTATTTTCATAACTATTCGTAACACATGCACCTACGACATTATATCAAGACATTCATTTAATATTGATAATTAAGCAATGAATAATTTCGCACGCAGATGAAAGGGACTATAATAAAATAGAACAACATTATCTCACAAGACTAACTGCTTTTATCAAAAAGATTAGGAACTACTGGATGGCAGTACATTAAATTTAAATGCACGCGAGAGAGAGAGAGAGAGAGAGAGAGAGAGAGAGAGAGAGAAAGAGAGGGGGGTGGAAGGGAGAGGGAGAAAAAGAAGACGAAGAAGAAAACCAAGAAGAGAGATTCGAAAGCTTTTTTAAATTGAAAATAGATCGCTAATTCTGTTTAAAAAAGAAACAAATTGCTTCCAACAATATCATTATCATAATGTTTACTTATGTGACTATACGGTATTTTCATAACTATTCGTAACACATGCACCTACGACATTATATCAAGACATTCATTTAATATTGATAATTAAGCAATGAATAATTTCGCACGCAGATGAAAGGGACTATAATAAAATAGAACAACATTATCTCACAAGACTAACTGCTTTTATCAAAAAGATTAGGAACTACTGGATGGCAGTACATTAAATATAAAGGCGCGCGAGAGAGAGAGAGAGAGAGAGAGAGAGAGAGAGAGAGAGAGAGAGAGAGAAAGAGAGGGGGTGGAAGGGAGAGGGAGAAGAAGAAGAAGAAGAAGAAAACCAAGAAGAGAGATTCGAAAGCTTTTTTAAATTGAAAATAGATCGCTAATCCGCTAATTTGTCTTTGCTTAACTTTTACTAATGTTTTTCTTATAGAAGGTGTGATTATACATTCACATGCAAAACACAAAATTACAAATAAGCCAGATATAGATAAAAAAGCACGACGACACTGCGTCTCGTTGAAGTGCAAACATCTCCCGTTTCTAATTATACAGATCAAAACACCAACCACGTCCAATTTAACGAGTCGCTGGAGACTTGACATGCTTTCTCGCAATCGATATTTCATTCGCGAACGATAAAAATGCACGTTTCGCGAATGGTAAAATTACTTTGACCTCTGTTTACTAACGAATGCATATGTAACGGAATCGTATCAAATTAGAGATGTAATCAAGATAAGATATCGTCGACTATACCGTCGACTATAACCGCGACTTTCAACGACTCGCAACGAGGGAAGCATGCATATAATGAATCACCAGCAGAAGAAGGGTGTACGTCCAAAGTATTGAATATAAAAAAGTTAGTAAAGAGAGAGAAAGAGAGAGCAAGTAACCAAGAGAAAAATATGAATTATAAAACGAATGGAAAAAATGTGAATTAAGAAAAAACATAATGATATATATGAGCTATATAGTGAGAAAGACGAATAAAAAATTCACATGCAAACGTTCGAACAAACTTCTAATTGATTTGGCTAACGAGGCATTTAATTAGTACCTTCAAGACCTGGAGGTAGAGTTTTTGAGATTTTTTGAGAGGTTTTTTTTCAGTGAGTGGTTTTGGTTTTTTCAGGTGTTCAGGTGGATACAACAACGGGCGCCACAGAGAACAAACAAAGAAAATAGCATTATATGCCGGTTAGTACGTGTACCACTTGCAATTTCTTTTTTCTTCTTTAATTATGATATGAATATAGATATTTTAAAAGTTAGGCATAAGAGAGGCACAAAAACAATGTTCGACGAACGTATTTAGGACTGATTCATCATGGAGAGAGAGAGAGAGAGAAAGAGAGAGAGAGAGAGACATAATTAAGTAATAAAAAAATATAAAAAATAAGTTTACATTCTTTTCTAAAAACAATATTACATTAAAATCTCATGCACAGTGATAATATGCATTTTAAGAGTTTATGTCTCTCTCTCCATGGTGAATTTAAACGGCCAAAATTACTGGGCGATAATCGCGTTTTACGCGTGGTCGATCAATTTCGTTCGTTCGACATTGATACCGGTGCTGCGTGGTTCACCGCTGCTTCATCGAAATTTTTCCGATAAATGACGCAAAAGTTTCGCGATTATAACCCCAGTAATCTTTTCGCGCTTTTTGCGTACTGCCTGGACAATTTTATTCACGACATAATATCACATAAAAATATATTTTACGTCGCGAGATTTTAGGATCTGAGATGATATGTGAGAGATACACAACAATTATATATAAACTGTTAACATTACACGGGGAGACAAACATACAGGAGACAGACATCGGATTCCAGGATCTAAAAAGATTAAAGATTTTATTCGGGATGCCGAACACAATGCTACTTTTGTAGGAAAGAAAAGGAATGGTAAATCTTTTAACATAAAATTTTCATATAATTTGTAGAATCACGGTTAATACAATCACGTTTCTTACGTAACCCCGATTTTCAAAATAAAATTTAAACTAAATGGGTCAATCGAAAAATTTAATTTTCTATTATTCAACTTTTGATCTGCTGAGATTACATTAGTCTGCCAATAATGTATCTCACTCTCTTAGTTTTAAATTAAATCACATTTTCCGCGACATACTTATCTCCACTGAGCGCTTTTCTCCGGAGCGCGATCAATAAACTACTTAAGAATTTCATTTAAAGCATCACGCACTAGTTGCACACGCAAGCTCTTAGCTTGCAATGGCATCCGTGTGTGTGGGTGTGTGTATATGTGAGTGACGTAGGCAAGACATTTTTGTTATCGTTCCGAACACGCGCGTCATTGTACATATAATAATTGAGCCGAGAGAAAAATATGTAAGGATATATCCACATTTCGTAAACTCGGTCTCTCTTTCAACATTTCATATATTATTTTTTTTTTGTAAGTCGAACTCAATTTCTTTTCAACCGCTTTTTATTGAATCGTTCGCCGAAATAAGCAAACGCGGAAGGCGATTTACTTAAAAGGATTTGCGACCATTTGCCTCTTTTCTGCAGATGCTCTATATCCTATATGACAAGCGGAACAGATCATCGCATCGCGGTATATGGGCGACTGATCAGAATTTCAAATCTCGAGTTTTCTAGTATTTTCGATCGATCCATCGAAGATAAAAGCACCGTTCGAAAACCGATCGCATCAGTAAATTGTGAATTCAACTTTTGCGGCGGGGGATGTTCTCATCAATTGCAAGCATATACAATATTTGCGAAATATCGTTGAAACAATGAAATTTCGAATACAATATTCGCGTTTAACAAATTTTGATGGATATATTTTATTCATTCATTTATTTGTTAATAGATATTTAGGAGAGAGAAAGAGAGAAAAATATTAATAAATAAATATCGCCTCAATGGATTATGAAATATCATTTTTTTTATTTTTTTATAGGAATTTCAGGAAAAGAGGAAATTACACGAGAGGAGATATTTTGTTAGATTCGATCGTTGGCGCTTTGCGATGGTTTTTGATAAAATTAGCAATTCGATTCGTCGCAGAAAAGGACGATAACACTGAAACGTAAAACACGTAATTAGGTTACGACGAGGTACACGTTCGCAATGGACTGCATCGGAGAATCTTTTACTTTATCTTGAAATACGGTAAAAAGAATATTTCTCGTTACTTCAATGTTATATATTTACTTTGGCTTTACGGCAAATCTCCTCAGATGCGTCGTACACAGAGTTAGGTCTCGCGACGAAAGTATTATAGGTCGCCGTCGTCGTCTCGCAAGATAAAATTATAAAAACAGCTATAATTGTTTTGCAATTGAGGGAGCACGATAGTTATTACGTTTCTATCGAATTAGAAATTAATCACACACAAGATTGAGATAAAAATTTAGTCATAATCTCTTTCACCGAATTACATGTATGCATGAAAGAAACGGAGACAGAACGTAAAGTATAATTCTTTGCAGTCTTTTCTTGAATAAACGCGATAAAAATTATATACATATATATAAAATATATAAATATACATATATAATATTCACAGTTATATTATGGAAATCATTTACAGAAATTTCCACATGTCGACTGTTTCACAGGCAACATTAGTGATTGTAATTTATATACTGCCGTTCAGCGTGTTCTCACGTATCTCGTGTAGGCGCCACCGCCAAAAATGCACACGCTGCACATATCACGGTAATTAATTCTGGCTCTGTTTTACTCTGCAAACGCGGAATACAGAATCGCAAAGCGCACGGAGCGACGCGTTAAAATTTTAAAAGAGATCCACGCGCAGCTGGGAGATGACCTCGAGCTAGTTGAGCGAATTAAATAAATTCAACCGGTCGCATAATCGCAGAGATCGAGAGAGGTCAGAGCAGTACTGCGTTACTAGGTGCAAGAAAGATCATGTTTTAAATAATATCTTGACAATCACGGGCAAGAGAACGACGACGACGACGACGACGACGACGATAACGATGATGACAACAACGAAAACGTCGGGTTGATAATTATTTCCGACGAATATATTGTACGGACGATCCAGGCAATGTACATATATGTATGTGTGTACACGGTGTACTTATACATATGTATATATACGCGGAGACAATGACGGAATGGTGTTAATGGGCAATCGGCTACCTACCAGCTCGGAAACCAATGGTATCGACTTCCGGCGCGGTCGAATGTCCGGCATGCTGTCGATGGTGCTGTAGAAATTGTCTCTCGGATGTCTGGAACAAAAAAGATTTCGAAAATTACGTCAGGGCATCGGACCCGAGATTACGTTCATCTTTCCTGCTCCAACAGTTTGCGTTAAAATTTTGTATTCTCATATTTTTTATCGTTGCATTCATATTTACTATCATATTGTTTAATATTTATAACGAAATATTACTTAATATTCGTTGGAAATTACGAATATAATCTTAGGCTTTAAAACAATATAAATTTTTTGAATAACTTTAGAAATGGAGTGAAAACTAGAATGTTCGGATTGTGTAATATTGGAAAAAATGAATACCAATAAAGCGTTTGCAAATTGAGCCTGAGATTAATTCCGCGTAGATTGAGCATAGACTAAACTTTCAATTCAAATTGCAGGTTTAAGTTAGTCATATTTCTAGGGGAGATTTTCTCGCACGATTCAAAGCGTTTGAAAATCCGATGGAAATGCTTGTTAGAAAGTTTTCAGAAAATCCAAGTTTTCGCAAGTCTAAATTTCTGCTTTGTCAATCGATTATAAATGTAAAATTATATTTAAAATTTTTTATCGAAGCTTTTTAATTTCTCATAAATTGCATTCGCGTGCAAGAAACGTGAAATATCTTAAAACTAGAATAAACTGTAAAATTGTTGGCCAATTTGAGAATAAATTTTATAATAATTGATCCTCATTGAGTAAAGATTCATAAAGAATAATGTATCAAATATCTTTATTCGATTTAGTAAATGAATATTGCTACGTCATAAAAATGGTGATTCGAAAGAAAGATGCAGTAAAGCATGGCAAGCATTTTTGATCTCCCGAGATCTAAGAGCTGCCACTCAAAGTCTTTTTCAAATGTCGAGGCCGCAAAATATCATATATCGTTGTTCATGCAATTCGAAATAAAAATTTATCAATTTGTGTAAGTAAAATAAATAATGGAAGAAATATTATCCCGTTTCTCATTTGACATTTAAGAAGAATGATTGAGATATTATTTCTCTGAAGAATCGATACAGATGTATTTCTCCACTTATCGCGCACAAAAAAAAATTTGTTTTTAATAATTAACAGACCAAATAAAAAAAAGTGCGCTACTTAAAATATTATATATATGTATGTCTCTCTATGGCTTTAAAAAAAGTGATGCTCTTAAAATTCACATAAGATTTGTATTCACATTTTAATAAAATTATAACATTAGTTTCTATAAAAAAATATGTAAAGTTTTATCAGAAAAATGAAGGTATTAATTAGAAAATTAATATCGCAATGTACTTACCCGTTCGCTCGTCCACCGGATTCGCCGCCTGGTCCGCTGCCGTTCTAACAAACAAAAAAACAAGTTTATTAAAAACAAGCTTAGTAACAGTTCGAGAAACGAAATGGAGAGCGCGCGAACGCAACGTGGCGCGCAGGATTCTGCTTTATTTTCTCACAATTATACAGTCTTGGATCAAAGACGCGCGGCCACGAAACAACGCGAGGAAGACGACGAGCGAGAACAATGATGTGACACGAACGCAACCCGATCTTGCGGAAATCCCTGTTCTCTTCGTACCGCGAAGCGATATTCTAATAATCTCCCGGCTGACTCGATATTACAAAACCGCGAGATTAATTTCTCACTCTAATTTTCGTGGCCGTTCGTTGGAAATTACGAATATAATCTTAGGCTTTAAAACAATATAAATTTTTTGAATAACTTTAGAAATGGAGTGAAAACTAGAATGTTCGGATTGTGTAATATTGGAAAAAATGAATACCAATAAAGCGTTTGCAAATTGAGCCTGAGATTAATTCCGCGTAGATTGAGCATAGACTAAACTTTCAATTCAAATTGCAGGTTTAAGTTAGTCATATTTCTAGGGGAGATTTTCTCGCACGATTCAAAGCGTTTGAAAATCCGATGGAAATGCTTGTTAGAAAGTTTTCAGAAAATCCAAGTTTTCGCAAGTCTAAATTTCTGCTTTGTCAATCGATTATAAATGTAAAATTATATTTAAAATTTTTTATCGAAGCTTTTTAATTTCTCATAAATTGCATTCGCGTGCAAGAAACGTGAAATATCTTAAAACTAGAATAAACTGTAAAATTGTTGGCCAATTTGAGAATAAATTTTATAATAATTGATCCTCATTGAGTAAAGATTCATAAAGAATAATGTATCAAATATCTTTATTCGATTTAGTAAATGAATATTGCTACGTCATAAAAATGGTGATTCGAAAGAAAGATGCAGTAAAGCATGGCAAGCATTTTTGATCTCCCGAGATCTAAGAGCTGCCACTCAAAGTCTTTTTCAAATGTCGAGGCCGCAAAATATCATATATCGTTGTTCATGCAATTCGAAATAAAAATTTATCAATTTGTGTAAGTAAAATAAATAATGGAAGAAATATTATCCCGTTTCTCATTTGACATTTAAGAAGAATGATTGAGATATTATTTCTCTGAAGAATCGATACAGATGTATTTCTCCACTTATCGCGCACAAAAAAAAATTTGTTTTTAATAATTAACAGACCAAATAAAAAAAAGTGCGCTACTTAAAATATTATATATATGTATGTCTCTCTATGGCTTTAAAAAAAGTGATGCTCTTAAAATTCACATAAGATTTGTATTCACATTTTAATAAAATTATAACATTAGTTTCTATAAAAAAATATGTAAAGTTTTATCAGAAAAATGAAGGTATTAATTAGAAAATTAATATCGCAATGTACTTACCCGTTCGCTCGTCCACCGGATTCGCCGCCTGGTCCGCTGCCGTTCTAACAAACAAAAAAACAAGTTTATTAAAAACAAGCTTAGTAACAGTTCGAGAAACGAAATGGAGAGCGCGCGAACGCAACGTGGCGCGCAGGATTCTGCTTTATTTTCTCACAATTATACAGTCTTGGATCAAAGACGCGCGGCCACGAAACAACGCGAGGAAGACGACGAGCGAGAACAATGATGTGACACGAACGCAACCCGATCTTGCGGAAATCCCTGTTCTCTTCGTACCGCGAAGCGATATTCTAATAATCTCCCGGCTGACTCGATATTACAAAACCGCGAGATTAATTTCTCACTCTAATTTTCGTGGCCGCGCGCGCGCGCATACGCACGCACAATGCTCTGCTTTGAGATGTTCTATATCGCCTAAGAGAAAGATTACGAATGGAACGGGATGAGAAGGGCGTAGAGGAAATCGCCGAGTTATGCGGGGGGATTTCGGTAAATATGGAGAAAGCGCTATTTTTCGCGCGCGGTGTTTCCAAAAAATATGTTTTTTTTTTTAAATTACATAGTTTTCTGTCTTGTTCATCCTTTCTTTTTTCTCAGCCGCTTGGCGTTAGATTAAAACCTGATTCGATTTACATCTCTCCCATCGCGCTTACAGTTGCATTATCCTCCTCGCCCATCTATTGTTCCTCGCAACGCAGGTCTCGCGAACAACAAGCTCCATCGATTGCATCGTCATACGATGGTAAACCTATTTTCTTTCTCTCTCCCAATCCAACATATAAACCACCACTTTCCATTTAATCCCTTTCTCATTCGCCGGACAGGTCGAACCCATTCTCGTCTCGCTTGTCGTCATTAATCAACCTTCGACCTGCCGGGCGACCTCGAAGAAGCACAGGCATTTTGTCGTCTGTCAGCCGGCTGGATTCATGGTTCGTTCGAGTTCATAGTGAACTCGCGATAAATTTTGCCGGACCTGGTCCTCGTGTCTCCGAGGATCACTCTTCCATAGCGTTCCTTTTCGTATCAGTATCCCTAGTGTTTCTTCTTTCGGTATTGCACGTAGTCCTCGTCCCGATAACAATTTTTCTCAATAAAAGTTCTTGCTCTGTGTGTCGGTATTAAAAATCTGGACACGAAAAACTCGAGGACTAATCGAGACCTTTAGATAGAGAGAAAGGGATATATATCTGCGCCAGTTGGTATGTTGGATGTTGTTCACGCTTCCATCGCTTTCGAGAATATCTCTCCTCTTTCTCTCTTTTTCCCTCTTGTCGTTTTGCTCTCCTGCGCTTCTCGTGCTAATCCACGTTCGCTGCGGTCGCGCGATGAAATGGAAGTTTTGGAGATAGAGAGTGTGTAACAGCCCGTATAAATATAATATCACGCACAATACGTCGTAAATTCTGTCACGATAGAGATATAATATAAACTTATCGATAGCATAACAAGTGTAATAAGTATTTAGAGTTAGAGCCGCAGGTATTTTCATCCCTTAACGCTGTCTTTCTTTCTCTCTCTCTCTCTCTCTTTCTCTCTCTCTTTCATTTCTTCCGCATTCTTTCACTCAATTTCTCATTCTCATTCTCTCGAATTACAATTTTTCGTTCTCACTTTCGCGCTTCTCGCTCTCTGACTCTTTCTCTCCAACTCTGTCGCTCGTTCTCATTCTCTCTTTCTTCTAAACAGTCTCGCGGAAAGGGTTTTGTTTTTCCTCTGTTCTCTTAAAAAGCTTAGACAACACTGGAGTATGACAATTTTCGTTTCGTTTTCACATTTAATCACGAAGTGATGGCCTTCGAGTGCGTCTTGTTGGAGGCATAAATAAAGCATAAGGCTTAATTCTCATTTTCGTAATACGCTCATATATGAATTCGTAATTGCATCGAATCAGAATGCTTTAATTGACAATAAGGATTATCTTCGGTCGAAATGAAACGACGCAGAAATTCTGCATCGCCAGCTAAAACATTATACAATGATACACTATAAAAACGAACAAATGTAATTGTGAAATTATAAAACTTCAAATAAAAGGAATCGCGCAATTAATTTCCATCGTTTCGTAAAGTAAAAAATGATTTCATTACCGGCACGAAAATCCATGTTCCGCATTTGCGGCGTAGAGTGACGTTTTCTGCCGGCAGGACGATACGCAGATTAATTATTCATAATATATATATATATATATATATATATATATTATGTGAATTTCACTGTGCAATGGCTAATTAGAGTTCGGTTAACTCGTAAATTTTACCGCATAGCGAAATTAGATGCGACATTTCCGATGTTGTGCGACGTAATTTTTCCTGCAGTAATTCATGCGACATGGAATTAATTTCAACATACATGACGATCGCGATAAATAGAATATAGAAGGATAAACATATAATATAGGGCAGCACGGAGATGCGCTCGAAGGCAAGGAAGTTTACGTACAACTCAATGGTATATGTATCTACACAAAATAGTTAATATATTCATCGCGAATATAATTCTGACAAGCGTCCGCTTAATAATCAAAACCTAATCGCATTGAATGTATATCCATATGTGTGTCTGCGTTATTCATTACTCTCTAACAAATTTTTTTCATTATCTATTAGGCCTTAACAACGTATGTTCCTTTAATTCGCTTACACACTAGTCGTCAATTGACGGCGCTATTTTCGCTATTTTAATTGAGAAGCCTTAAGAAATCTTCGCTGTACTACATCGATCGATGGAAGGCGGATGCGTTCGCGTCCACCTCCCGTCCCGTTAATGATATGACACTTAATGAAACGATATCGATGATATGCAGGTGCAATTTTAAGATATCCGCTCGTCGAGACTTTGTGACTCGCGGGGTTGAAAGAAGAAATTCTTCTCAACTAAGAGTTGGATCGCGCTATTTTCATGAGCATTTTTTTATTCCTTGGCATTTCAAAGTCGATTAGGGTCGCGGAATAATTTATGCAAAACTTCACCGTCGTCTCGACGAGAGGACACTCATGATAAAGCTCTCGGTACTATGTAGTCAGGTTTACCTGCGGCCAATAATGAACGTGTGTTGTGCACAATATTTAGGAGTGAAATTTTTATCTCCACTTTATGCAAAATGGAGTATTCCAGCGAATACGCCGATTAGCCGGAAATTGTTAAATATTTGTTGGTTCGTATAATGTTGCGGTAATCTAATCCTCGTTTTGTTTTCTCACCCCATCGATTCTAATTACTTACGAGTTTATTTATACGGCGTATTCCAAAGAAAATGTCCATATTTAGTACGTATGATATGTAAATGCGTGACCTGCATCGATATACTTATGAAACTCATTCTGCCGCGATATACGTATCAAACGCGATGATTTATTAGCAATGATAAGACATCGTGGAATTTCGGCAATCTTTCTGTATATATATATAACAATTTAGAATTTATTTAATTCAACAAAAATAAAATCACGTAGAAACACGATTAAAATTTTCCCTAACCCTTACATAAATTAATTCCAAGTAGCGATTATGGCGTGCGCGTATTCGCATTACATTGCGTGTGGCGCGTATTATAATGAACTTGCGATAGTATTCTTGTGATAACTGACGTAACTTATTCACAAATTCAAGGACTCCATGATGGATTATAAATGAACAAAAATACTTATGGGTATAAAACTACGTTTTTATACGGCTCTCAAGAAAAGAATATTGCGATTGCGGATCGGTTATACAGACGTGGTGCGTAAAAAAGATCACGACGAAAGAATCGCCGGAATAGATTTCCCACGGGTCTATATTTAGAAATAGAGTTGATCCGAATGTCACAAAAGTGTGCGAATGTCCGTGATTAATGGAAATGAAAATGGAGCAAATACACGAAAGAGCTAATATGACCTTAGGAAGAAGCGGCTCAGGAAACGTCCGCACGTATGCATGCGATATGTTCATGCATGTTTTGCATAAAAGCCAATTCTGCATTGCGTCTCGGTATTATATGAGATCGTCGTTGAGTACGCAAGTAGGTGCACCTAACAGAATTTTACGAAGGTTGTCGAAATTCCAAAACTCATTACGATATGTATGAGTACAGCCGTGATTTATGATTATGTATACGTCATTATGACTATGATATAAATTATGGTAATACATTATAATGCCGTTCGAGAGAAGGGCAGGAGGGTAGTGTAAATAAATTATAAACAGATAAATTATTTGGAAGCGGACAAAATGAAGCTAAGACTAATATACCTGGGGAACGTCTGTATGAATCTCAAAGAATAAATAAATCAATAAATTAATTGAATCATCGATTTGTTGACGAGTACGTGAGTATATTACCGTATTTCAACATTAATCCAAAACTGGGTACGGCCACAGGTAACCAGAGGCATTCGCCCGTCTGTGTTTGTATACGTGTATGACTTTGTGGTAAGTAACATGGACACCGTGTACATGTAGGTATGCGATTTCAGCGAATGATATGTCGGAATGTGTATGTTGACGATAGTAGCATGGTGTGCGCTATAATTGTGCTAGCAGGCAAGTTGTAGACCCACACACTGCGTGGCAACCTAATCCCACGTTCGCCTTAATCATCCCACAGCTCACCGCGATTTATCTTGAACTTCCGTTTCCGTACGTGAAAATGTATAGTAATACTCTCTCGATACATTCTCCCGTCGTAAATTATCATTATACACAATAATACGTATCCGTTTGCATCCTAACGTAAGCACCTTTATTGTTGCATCGATAGTCTTAATTACGGGATATGTATTTGCTACCCTATCTCGTGCCTGTATAATATATAGGGCGCCATATCTGAACACATAAGATATACAAATATTTCACGTAGAGAACAAACTAGAAAGATCGTTTTATATGTATACAAATCTCGAAATTCTTCCACGTTTAACAATTCGTTTGCGTCTATTATACCGACATAATATCGTTGTACCGCAGATCGAAAGACACCGATCCTGCGTTTGTACGAAAAATTTCTTATGCTTCGCGTCAGGCGTTTAATATTCTGTGTAATTTTAACGTGTTTACGTAC